ATTTGAGCCGTCCGATAGTTTTAGTGTGAAATATGATTCCTATATTATAATATGAGAATAAACATTGCAAATAAACACATTCGTCGAACATGGACAACGTATAATTGAACGAAGTTTCATTTGTTCTCGTAAACCAAACGTTTTTAACACTAAAACTACCAGAGGGGTCAAATGACCCATGCCTGATGTCTCCTTTTTGCAATTATTAGAAAGGGAACAAATGTTTCTCTGAGAAATTATTAAAGAAATTCATTTAGCACTACGCAAATTGAATTGTAAATCAATGAAAGTCTGAACGGATGCACTCTTGGAGTTTCCATAGCGAAATTTTCAAAAGTCAATTGAAGTGCACGGTTGTTTTAGTGTCAAACACTTCGTAGACATATTTCCGTTTGAAACATTGTGATGTGAATTCGATAATTCAATGGATGAATCGATAATACATCTGTCCAACGGTAGGATTGAAAATGATCTTTAATCACTGAAATTATATAAGTCTTCACGTGACGACTCATAAATGGGACGAGATTTCCAGATTCTGTCGTTTGAACAAACGACATTCGATGCTCGACAATGGCGTCTTAAATTCGCGACGACAAACGCAAAAGGACTGGCAGCCGGCTCGATTAATCGGTAATTAATGGGACGCGGCTAACGTGGCAAATTTACAGGCAAATATTTTCGCCGGTGATTAATATTGCAGCGCGCGACGAACGGGGCGGCTCGAGTCCGTATAATCTCGGACCAGTCGCGTCGCGCGGATGTTAAATTATTTGCGCTGTCTTTCCATTTACGATCCATTGATTAAACAATCGCGAGAGCGCGCCACCTTTCACAGGCCACGATGTATAAGCCACTATATCTTTCTCCTCTGTTCTTGTTTTTTTCCGCGACGCGATTTATCGCGAGCTGTAACTCTCGTTTCACGCGTTCGCGCCTGCAGCCGGTTCGACACGCGGATTTCGATTTTCCCGTGGAAAATACGCGTCCCGTTTCGATTGATAATTCCTGACGATTAATCCGCGAACAATCCGACCGGTGATTTCAACTAGGAAATCGTCTCCTTGCACTTGTTTTTCGAAAATCATCCACGAGTCGAAGGGAAAGAGACAAACAAGGTCGGACGGAGGAACAAGATATCTCCGTTTCCGCTGATAACGGGCGACGACGGATTTAAAACGCAAATTCTTTCGTTAAACGACGGAGTTAGACGAAGAACGCATAACGAACGAGATTGGATGCTGAACGCGTGTTACGAACGCTATTGAGGAATTTTGAAACGTGGAGACCCATTGGAAACAATTTAGAAATTAGCATCGTGCGGAAGACTGACTGTCGATGATAAGGATCATTGTATTGATCATTACTAGACTAGATTTTTATGCATTTACGAGAAATTTGGAGTGCAAAGTTGCTTAGAGTGTCTAAAATATCTAAACTTTAGTGGTTTTCATGACATTTCTTAAGGAAAATCATTTGGAATCTTAACCCTTTGAACTCTGTAGGCTCCAATATTGCACCAATTGTAATATTAAATATTTTAATGAATCTTAATCCTTTGCGGACGAAATAGATCGAAGTAGCTCGGTACCGTATTAACCCTTTGCACTCGGAAATTTCTCACTAGAAATATTTAACATTTTTTGACTAATAAAGGAACTAATGAGAAGACGCACGTAAATTAACCCTTTGAACTCTGTAGGCTCCAATATTGCACCAGTTATAATATTAAATATTTTAATGAATCTTAACTCTTTGCGGACGAAAATTCTTCGAAACATGCAAAACCTTCACCATATAAAGCTTAATTATATATCAATTGCTTAATTAACAGAAGAAAAGGAAACTACAGTTTGATCTCTCGCTGTTTGACTAATTAAATCAGTTGTTCGCGAGTTAGTCTTCCAAATATGAATATTTCATCTTATCGAAATGCCGACATCCGTCCACAAAGGGTTAAAGAAACCACCGTAAAATTATTCGATTTTCACATCCAAATTTTGTGCTAAGAAGGAAAATAAAAGATCTAAGAAATGTTACAGCATTTTCCATTTTCATTAGAGATACCATAAAAATTAGTCGCTGATAAATTACAAAACCATCTGCAGTGTTACGGATTAACCCTTTGCACTCGAGAGGCGACTCTCATTCGCCATTTGATTCAATACACAGAAATTACGAACATTGAACTTCAATATTCATTTTGTATTAGGTATCAACACGTGAACCTTAGAAATAAAATAGTTCCAACTCTTAATCTATGTAAGATTTTAAAAGATCTAAGAAATGTTACACCATTTTTCATTTTCACTGGACATACCATAAAAATTAGTCGCTGATAAATTACAAAACCATCTGGAGTGCTAAAGGTTAATTGTGCTTTTCTAATTACATTCTTGAACATTTGCATGATCCGCAATCATTACAATAAAGAAAGACGAAGCTTCTCTGTCTGTTCGCTAGATATATTTTCCATCTTCCATTCGTAGACCTCGATGAGAAGTTCGCGACGTAAAATCATGTCTAACGATGCGAACGCCGATTTACGTCGATCGTGTAATCAGTGGTTGTCGTTCGAGCAGAATGATTCTGTTTTATTGTATTCAAGGATAATCTTCCTCGAATGTTCGTCAGGAACGCGCGTTGTTCACGAGGAATACGCATGGCGATAATAAACAGCGCCGCTCTAGGAAACTTATCTCCCTAGCACACTTATCTGACACCATAACTCAACTTTTTATTGATCCTTCATTCGACCGGCTTATGGATAACCCGACCGGTATTACGATTTCCCTCGGACTCGTCGGGTCCTCTCGCACCTGTCTAGTTTGCATCGGATTTCCATTCGGGATTGTCTTGTCGCCGCGCGCTCGTTCATTCGCGAGACGTTAGCTGTTCGATCGCGGATCAGCGTCGGGTTTTTCGTTTCGCAGCAGAGATACCGGACGCTGGCTGCCGCGATCTTCACCGGCGTTCACGATTTCATCGAGTGGATTAGATTTTAACTTTTCACCTTCAGCGTTCTGCATTTTCATCGTATTTAAATTATTCTTGCACCTTTTTGGGGAGAATCTCTGATTGTGGACATAATTTAGCGGATTGAGGTTAATCAATATTGATTTCAGTGTTCCGAATGAATTTTCCTGTGGATAGTCTGTAATTATAGATATAATTTCGTATAAATTGTTTTTATATTTGAGATGTTTTCTTTAGTGTACTTGAGAAATATTGATTTTAGTGTTCCAAATTAATTTTCTTCTCGAAACTCTATAATTATACATATAATTTCGAATAAATTGTTTAATATTTGAAATGGTTTTCTTAGTATACTCGAGGAATATTGATTTCATCGTGCTAAATGAATTTTTTTATGGAAACTCTGTAATTATACATACAATTTTTTATAAATTGTTTAATATTTGAGATGGTTTCTTTAGTATACTTAAGGAATATTGATTTCATCCTGCCAAATGAATTTTTTGTGGAAAGCCTGTAATTATAGATACAATTTTTTATAAATTGTTTAATATTTGAGATGGTTTCTTTCGATATGTTATAGTATTTCTAATTTTCGCTGGGAATACTACAAAAATTAATTGCAGTTGCTGATAGATTACAAAACAAACTGGAGTGCTAAGGGTTAAGAAACAAAGCTGTTTTATATAAATATTTCACATATCGATGCATTATACGAAACTTGATATTACATATAACACTTTGTAATTTTGTTATATCGAATCAAATGGTGACTGAGAGTCACCCCTCGAGTGTAAAGGGTTAACCCTTTCCACTCGAAAGTTTCTCACGTGAAGTATTCTATACTTTCTAATTAAATGTAGACAAGATTCTTTAAAATGAATTTAACAAGAAATCATACATAAATTAGGGGACAAAGCTATTTTCGTTCAATATTTCACGTATTGATGCAGTATACAAAGGTTAATGGTAAATACCAAAGCTTATAATTTTTCTGTATCAAATCATCTGGCGACTGAGAGTCACCTCTCGAGTTCAAAGGGTTAAATACCTGCCGCATTGAAGAAACGCGAGTCGATCTGATCGATAGCAGGAATTTCGTTTCCCCGAAAACAGTAACAAGAGCACGGCTCCCGATTTTTCAGCATCGCCGGTGCTCTCTCCTCATTTTTCATCGGCAAAAGTGATCGATTTCGCGTCATCGGCGATAGGTGTCCCCCGCGTTTTCATTTTAATTCGCCGTCCGCCCGACGTATCGCATTTCTCACGTCCCGTGAATCGCTCGATCGCGACCTCTGCCCCGGCCGCGTTTGTTTCCGCATATTTCATCGATCCCGCGAATTCCCGAGCCTCGTTCCCCATGATTTTTCCATTGTACGCTCGTTCAGGCGGGAAATCTCTTTTGTTGATACGTCGATACCTTGCCTGTGCAAGGGACGATGCCGATCTTGTATAATATAGTTCGAAACGCGAGCAATTACAGCTGAAAAGAGAAAAATTGTCGGAAGCAGATGATATCTCGAGACTCTCTCGAAATTTGTCTGGATCGCGCGAGAAACTGTCGATTTTCTATAATATTGCTTGAAACGCGTAGTGTTATAGCTATAAAAAAATTGTCGGAGGTAGGTGACGTCTCGAGATTTTCTTAAAATTTGTCTGTATCGCGAGGGAAACTGCTGATTTTCTAAAATAACTTTGAAACTCGAAGAATTATATATAGCTAAAAAAAGAACATTGTCAAAGCCAGCTGAAACATCAAACTTCTCTTAAAATTTGTCTGAACCGCGCGGAAATTATCGATTTTCTATAGCAAATTTAAAACTTGCAGAATTACACATGGTTAAAAAGAAAGAACATTGTCGAAGGCAGCTGAAACATCAAACCGCTCTTAAAATTTGTCTGAATCGCACGGAAATAGTCGATTTTGTATAACAATTTTGAAACTCGAAGAATTACACGTAGCTAAAAAAAAAGAACATTGTCAAAGGCAGCTGAAACATCGAGCCTCTCTTGAAATTTTTCAGGACGTCACGGGGAATGTTGAGAGTGGTGAAGATGATTCTCTACTAACAGTGTGGATATTAACCGAGTGTTGAAGCGAGAGCCGCATTAACGTGTTATTAACGTCATGTAACAAACAGCCGCGGCAGTGATCATGGAGAACGCATGCAGCTCGACTCGGAGCGATCCGGGAGCAGCTAATGGTAAGTCGATTTTTAATTAACATTTTTGACGCTTGTTTTCTTATTCCGTTAATCGCATGCCCCATAATAATAAATATTCCGATGAAACATTATTATAACAGAGATTTCTAGGTTTGATAATTAAAACAAAAAGAATCATCAAGCTTGATTCTCTTTTCTAATATCCAAGACTTCCATACATCATTCGAATACGTAGATAAAAATTTCAAAACTACTCGTGTACCAAAGGTTAATCATTTCCAAATGTCGGATTCGAACACGCCGCTCACCGAACGTTCAATCTAAATCCTCGAAGATAGTAACTCCACTTGGTAACAGCAAAGACAATAACTTTAATAGAACAATCGGTCGGATCGACTCGAAGTCGAACACGGTCGCAGGAAAATTTATACGACCATAAAGTATTACGATCGAATCGGAGTTGAACCTAGATTAAATTAAAATGGACTCAGAAGCTAGTCCCGGCTGCAGACCGAATTAATCCCGAGCTTAATTGTAAAATCAAATTAGACGTTACGAACGAGCCGCGTGCGTTACCGAAAAACGAATCGAAATAGAATCGATTAAAATCAACTTGCAAGACCAACGAATCGAGAGAAGCTTAGTGAACTTTTAGTGTACTTTGTACCGGGCAATAAAGGACTAGCCAGAAACGCTGGGCGGCAGCGTTCAACGGCGAGTTACGTTTTTCGCCCACACTTGACCCGCGCCGGGGTCAGGAGAACAGGTTCTTCGAATTCGTTCCACGAAACAAATTAGCCGAACCGAGAATTACACGGCGTTGTACGATACTTTGATACTTTCGCTTCTTTTTTTCCCCGCTGCCTGTTGTTTTTCGCTCGCGGACGAGATCATAAAGCAGCCGGTTGTTGCAAAGAGACGCGCTGCTGCTTTCCGCTGCACTCTGTCGCATCGAGAACGTTCACGGGGCTCTCGTATAATTTCATCTGGAAACCGCAGACCAGTGAGAGTCGTCGAACGGAAAGGTAGAGAGAAAGAGGGAGAGGGAGAGAGAGAGAAGGATTTGCTTTCTCGGCTAACCTCTTGCTTTTCGCTCATCGAAAGTCACCATTGTCTGTTCGAGGTCTGCGACGATTCTTTTTACCAATCGAACGGGGATTCCTTCGTTCCTCTTTGGTTATACAGGCTGTGGTTTGTAGGGACGAATTATTGTAGTCTGTAATCTGGTCGATCAGATTGTTCGGCCGATGGAAACAGATGCGCGTGATTAAATGTGGGGCGCGTGGTGTTTCGAAGTTTCTAAGTTAAAAGGTTTCGAATTTTCTATGTTTCCATGCTCAAAATTTGCAAGTTTCAAATGTTCATATGTTCAAATATTCAAATATCTAAATGTTCAAACATTCAAATATTCAGATATCTAAATATTCAAACACTCAAATATTCCAATTTTCAAGTGTTCAAACGTTCAAATATTGAAACATCCAAATGTTCAATCTTTCAAACGTTCAAACGTTTAAACTTTCAAACGTTCAAACGTTCGAACTTTCAAATGTTCAAATGTTTAAATATTCAAATATCTAAATATTCAAATTTTTAGATGTTCAGGTGTTCATATGTTCAAACATTCAAATATTCAGGTATCCAAATGTTCAAACATCCAAATATTCCAACTTTCAAGTTTTCAAACGTTCAGATATTGAAATATCCAAATATCCAAATGTTCAAATGTTCAATCTTTCAAACGTTCAAACTGTCAAATGTTCAAACTTGCAAATATTCAGATATCCAAATATCCAAATATCCAAATATTCAAACATTCAGATGTTCAAACACTCAAATGGTCAAAGTCCTCAAACCCCAAAGTTCCAAATACCTAAACCTGAAGATTCCAAATTCTAGATTTCCCCGACAATATCTATCATCCGAGTCCTCTGTCACTCAAGCGACAGTGTCATCGACCCAAGGCGTGGTCACTGAACGTTTCAAATTCGTCGGGCCGTCGATTCATTCGACTACGCATCGACTAGAACCGCAGGCCAACCGCGATTCGCTGAAACTCGTTCCGACGACTCGTTCGAACCGAAGAAGCCGCGATTAAGCTCGCATCACACCGAGCTAAGAGAAAATGTCTGCGGCCGCCCTATTATGTAAAGAAACTAGTTTCCCGTAACGACAGCCCGGGATCGGTCGTTACTAATTGAACGAGGCCGTTTACGCGTCCGTGGCACACGCTCGCAACGGGAACCTGTACTTTGATAAAGGTTGACGGCTCGTTCGGTCGTTAGCTCTGAAACGAAACGCCTGTCGTTTTTCACAGAATTATGGACATTGAAAATTACACGCGTAATCTAATAATTAACGCCACATCGAGCACTTTACATCGACGTATCTTCGAGTTTCCTGTTTTCCCTTTAGCCTGATTATCCGAGACACTCCTGTCTTAAATGATCAATTATATACAGACGCTAATTGATTATTAATATTTCTGCTCGAACGCACAAGCTTCTATATTGACACATTCAGTTGAGATCCATATATTGATTAATGAAAATTCGTCTGTATCTTACAATGAATGAACTTCTCTTAAATCTAAATGAATTGAAATAAACTTTTATCGATAAAAACACAGAATATACTAATTCATACGTGATCACCAATCTCATTGGACACATCCAGTTGAGATCCATATATTGATTAATGAAAATTCGTCTGTATCTTACAATGAATGAACTTCTCTTAAATCTAAATGAATTGAAATAAACTTTTATCGATAAAAACACAGACTATACTAATTTATACGTGATCATCTCGAATCTCATTATAACAGCAGTTTCAAGCTCCTATATCTAGAACCGAAAGTTCCAAACGAATGGTTCAATTATTCAAACAACGAATAATTCATACATGCTTTCCTTCTTTCCTATTATTCAGTACTTCAATGCATAATTCAACTCCTCACGAGAACAAATTTAAAAACTTGAATCATTCCCATATGCAAAGGTTTAACAGAGTGAATCGTAGTTCCCCAGAAAAACAGAAAAATTTCGAACAACCGTGCATATGTCCGCTGCTCGCTCTCATCTAATTATCAGGCCGGCCGTTCGGACATGTATACTCCATTAATTATCGTTCGCCGAACTCCGAAACCGAGGATTCTATATCTAAAATCGAAAACTCCGAGCGAGTAATTCAATCATGCAAATAACCGATCAATACACGGTTTCCTTTTCTATTATTCAGCACTTCAGTGCGCAAATCAACTTTTCACGAGGACAAATTTAGAAATTACAAATTTCCCCGTATACAAAGTATTAACCCTTTGTACTCGAAAGTTTTCACTAGAAATATTTCAATATTTCCTAATGGGATAAAGACAACAATTTATGAAACTAACTCGAAGAGAAATCACACGTGCATCGAGGAACGAAGCTATTTTATTTCAATATTTCTCAAATTGATGCATTATACAGGGTGTAATATTAAGTAACAAATTTCGTAGTTTTACTGTATGAAATCAAATGGTGAGTGAGAGTCACCTCTCGAGTGCAAGGGGTTAACAGTATTCCTACCGCGACCAGTCAAATGACTGTTTTTAAAATTTCGATTAGAATTTCCTATAGACAACGTAATTGAATCGCCTTTATACTTCACGACTTTTCCTAAAATATATGTATAAATCATTTTTCAATATTCACACCTTTTTTTATTATTTATTTTCTGAGAAAAATTTGTAGTCTGTCTTACCTACCACGACCGGTCATTTGACCGGTAGAAGGATTTATATCTTTTTGTAATAGTATTCTCTCAAAGACTCAATTCCGATACTATAAAGTCGTTACAAACGAAAAGTAATGCAGTTGTGGCATGATTTTAGCCACAAAGTGCCTTTCAGGAACTGCTTTACGGCACTTCCAAGTGTTTACAGTTCTCGCTCGCCTATCGGCTTCGGTAAAATCGGTAAAATTTAAATGTCGAAGATGGCCTTTACAGGTATTTTTGAATATCCTAGACTTAGCCGGGATAAATGCATGGATTTTACATAAAGAATCCACGGGAGAAGAAATTTCGATCCAGGAATTCTTATTTCAATCGGCAGAAGAACTTGCCATTGAATATCAAAAAGAACTAGAGTTAGGCAAAGAAAATCAAGCAGCGCCCGTCACAAATACAAGTACGGGTTCACGCGAACGGAAACCATGCCAAATAAGATATTGCACGAACAATAAGACTAACAAAATCTGTCTAAAATGTAAAAAGTACGTGTGTGGGAAATGTACAATCGACAAACCTATTTGTAAAAATGCGGTGAAAACGAATAAGATGTAAATTACATACCTCTAAATAAAAGAAGCTATAATTGTATACTGTCAAATTGGCTATTATCATCATTCTATATTAAAAAATATAAGTTGTGCTACAGACCAGTCATTTGACTGGTCGCGGTAGGAATAGTGTTAACAGAGTGAATCGTAGTTCTCCAAAAAGAAACAGAAAAATTCCGAACAGCAGTGGGCATACATCCGCCGCTCGCTCTCGCCTAATTATCAGGCCAGCCGATCGGACATGTATATTCCATTAATTATTGTCCACCGAACGGTGAAACTGGGGCAACGGGTCCGTAGGCTCGTTTGCGAGGGGGACACGTGGCTGATTTCCACGGAACGATCGGGACGCGCATCCCCGCGAGAGAGCAAACAAGCGTCGGTTTCCATTTGCCGCGTCAATTATCGCGCGTTTATTCGCTTTCCAGCTTCGCGCCGGTCCTTTACGGCCTTCCCGTCGCTCGCCGATTTTTTCCGGCACGTGACTTCGCGACTTACCGTTTCTCCTCGGCCATTTTCCCGTGTCCCGTTGCATCGGACGATCTTCCCGCGTCCGTCGTCCGTCCGACGCAATTTTCGAGCCTCCAGTTAGAAACTAGCATCGGATTTCCCGCGGATATTATACAATTTTATTTATCGCGTAATTTCTCGGATTATATAATTGCACCGCGAACGTATTCTGCCTCCTTACTCGAGCGGCGAGTCGATCGAATCATT